AGTTGCTTTAAATTCTCTCAAAAATAGGGAAATATTAATCTACGATTTACCTTAACACATAACATAAGTGTTCGATCACTTTAATAAATATATATTAGGGTGTCAAATAGAGAAATGTTATGCAGATACAAAATATAGTAGAACGTCGATTATCCTTATCAATTTGGGAATAAATTTGTACAAATAATCAGTACTTCAAATAATTGGACTAAAAGAATTTTGAATTAAATTATGTCATAATTTAATTTGAAATAAAACAATTTTTATGGATAATTACTATTCATTTTACCACTTATTCAAGAAAATGAAAATGCACGAGTCTAAATTCAAGGCGCTAAATGTATGTCAGTAAATTCAGTTTCACGTTACTTTGTTGTCACTGTATGTTTCTATTGCTTCACATTTTTCATTTCTCATTATTCGCGAGGCACTTGTTCTATTTAATTATCGCAACACGAATAGAAGAACATATTCGACATATTCAGTAATATAAAATGAGAAATAAATGTTTCGGCTGAATATTAATCTAATGCATTTAATAAAATAAAACATTTACTTTGAAAGTCTGTCAGTTTTAATTAAAAGCTTTTTAATGTTAAAATAAAATGTAAAAAGGTTTGACACTTTGAACACCTGATATTCGAATCTTTTAACAATTTTTAAAAAAATATCTTCTGTTTTACACACACTGCAAAATTTCATCGTGTTTGACAAACCAAAAAATACACTTTCATTTGTTATGTGGTGGTATATGAAAGTGAAATGGCCAATTTCACTGAAACATAAAAATTTTACAGAACAGTGACTAAATATCACACCAAATGATATATTGGAATATCGGAAAAAACAATATCTTTTTCACTTCTTAGTAGAGAATTCGATTGTATTTTTTTCTCATTTTATAAATAAGAATGAATTTCAGAAATGTTGATTATTATAAGATTAATTACATTTTCGTTTTTTCACAAAATTTCGTTCATTTATTGCCTACCTTCAAAAACTTCAAAAATTAAAATACTTCTTTTTTAAACACCAAGTAATACACAAATTTTTTAATGTAAGAAACATACAATAAAGGTATTTTATTTATTAACGAACGATCGTTTCCAATCATCAGAAGACAATTTAAAGTATAATTCTAGTCGAATAAAGCACGATCGACGTTTAATCAATTGCTTCGTTATAAAATACCTGTTCCTGTATCAAATCGAATTACGAATAAAAATGAAATATTTTGTCGCAGAAGCTATAACAAGTGAATATACGACCTTGTTGAATAGCTTTGAATTATGTGACAATTCCAATTATACAATAATGAGAAATTCTGTAATAAGATATGATAAGAAATTTATGATAAATAATGCTCCCTAGCAGGAAGATTTATTGGATTTAAGAATATATTTAATTTTTTCAATAAATAAATGAATAAATATCCGTTTCGGGACATTAAATTAGGAATATCGTTTGGTGGTTAATAAACATTTATTTCCAAAATAATTGATAAAATAATTGGTATTAAAAGCTTTATTACAGTATTCGTTTATTTCATTTCGGACGACATGAAATAGCAAAATGTAATTGATATGACATGTAAAATGTATGGATATATAATATATAATAGAAACCATAGAATATTAAATTGTACAAATAAACTGAAACGTAATTTATATGAAAATATATTGCTGACATCATAAACAAAATAATTGAGTTGCTATTGACTATACCAAAAATAAATATTGAACAAGGAGATTTAGTAAAATTGAATATTTATCTGAAACAAAAAAAAATATGTACTTAATGATAATTGAATAATCACTGAGATCTTATATAATTGATAAAACGGAATACAAAATGAATACAGCATAAGAAAATTACTATTTAAAATTGTGTACATCTACTATTATGAAAATGATTACATATGATATGAAATTGTCCATACTTACATCAAGATTAAGAAGAATAGAATGCACCAAGCAAAAACGAATTTTAACGATGAAACTGCATTTACTGACAATAATTATTTATATAATTATTTTATCCAATTTTCGCATTAAAATTTATACACGTAGCATGATTAAAATAAATATAAATTATTATCTTCTTATCCAATTTCAAAGATCATTTAATCGAACTTTTCAATCATTAAAAAATATTAAACGATACGAAATTATACAATAAAAAGGAATAAGTTAGCACTCAACTAAATCTTAATTATCTTAATTATCTACATCTACATGTACAGATTATTTTCCATAATTCAGCGATCAAGCTTCTTCTTATATTTTATTAACAAATATCCACTCAATTTATTATCAACTATCACTACACCTTAACAAATAAATATTTCTTTTTGTTCTTATGACTAGATCAACAACTTATAATAGTTCAGACATGGTGACGAAGAAATCAGGCAGCTAGATAGTAATTGCAACCTCAGATTTATATAATATAAAAATAAATACATTCTTTTTTTCTTCACAAAACTGACATGTATGAAATATAAATATAAACCACGCGCATTTTATATAGTTTTTAACACTTTGAGTCACAATTTTTTCCCATATGAAGGATACAAAATATGTATTATTATATTCGTTATTTCATTATGATATAAATATAAAAATTAAAGCGGAAAACTAAATAGAAAGATTAACAAACTTTCAAACGAAATTCGACATTTAGAATATATATTTTTTTTCAATATAAATTTGTATTAATCGGAGTAAAAATACGTTAGCAAATAGTGGGGCTGGAAAAAAGAGGTATACGCGATAAAAACTTCCATTTCGTGAAGTTATGGATGAGGTTAAAATTTCAGAGAAAAATTTACGTAAATAAAAACACACGTTGTTATATTTGTAAAGACACAATTTAACATGAAATAATTTTTAAAAAATATGGACTTATCGATATATTGATATATTGATTCCATTTTAGAAAGAATACACGTGCATCATTTTTTCGCCGAAACAAACAAATAATAAATAAAGTAATAAATAATAAATATATAAAGAATCTAAGAAAGAAAAATAATATTATTCAATTTTGTTTTACGATAATTTGACAAAATATTGTTAATTAAAGAAATAAAATATTATTAATTCTTTGGTTTTTTTCCATTATTAATTATGGATGTGGACGTTCATTAAATGACTCCAAGAACTAATAACTTGGCCTAAACAAGAATGGTATAGTGACGGGGTAATGGAAAAAGTAATACAAAGGAAATTACTTTAAGATATGATGAAATCTACCTTCGTGTGAAAGTGATTCCTTTTTTAATTTGTCACGTGAGTATCTGATATTGGCAACATGCAAGTGCAACTTTATTAAGTTAAAGAATTTTTAAAATAAATTAATTTTCTAATTATATGTGTTATTCAATAAAATAATAATATACATGATCGTCTAGATTCTGTTGTTGCACTCTTTATACAAATTTCCGTATTTTAAAAATAAATATGTCGTTGATCATTTCAGTGCTAATCGTTACTGTAAAATATCTTATACAGCTACAAAGTCAATGGAAATAATACTACATGTAAGCATAAAATAACTGTAAAATAACTATAAGCAACACTGTATGTAAATATGAACTAAATATAAAATAATTAGAATGTATAGTAACATAGTAAAAATTTCTGACAGTGTTAATAACATTAGTAACGTTACAAATATGTATTTATGTTATTTTTGACATTGATATGCCCATATATACTATATGGATTTTGCGATAAACAGAATTCACATGAATAATTATTCAGGTTACAGGTATTAATATTTAAAAATGAAGCAAAGAGATTCTGTATAAATTTGAATTTAAATTTCTATATAAATATATGCATCAATGAGAAACGGATTCATTATACATCACGAAAATGACTGATTTTTATAAAATATCTCGAATTTATTTTGAAAAAATGCAATTCCCATAATTTATCTGTCATGATCAAGTAAGATGGAAAATATTTTTAACCAAACCCTTCTATTACACTTTACATGTACATAGCTATTAAGTAAGATCATTAAGGAAGACAAAAATATAAAATACTTTATTGCGAAAATTAACAACTTTTGATTGAAGCAATTAGCGAATTTATATTCGCTCGTATATTTTCATGATAAATTTATTTAATTTCAGGATATACGTGTACATGAAAATAAATTTATCAATTAATGAAATTAGCAGCGGTGCAAAATACGAATAACACGATGTGAAAAATTTCCATAGAAAATTTATACGATATCTGCGAAACACCAGCTTGTATACATTGTATTACAATATAGAATGACTTTAAAGAGAAATGACAGGAAAAATTGCAATCGCGAATAATTTCAAAAATAACGGAAAAGTATGTCGCGAAAATGTGCAACGATTTATTTTACATATATTACTTTCTATGACGTTTTAAATATAAGAATATTTAAAATTCAAAATTTTAAATGTCAAAATTCTAGTGGTATTTAAAAATATCTGACATACAGCAATATTTAATAATATCTAAAAAGTATTTAAAATTTGATGATATCTGAAAATATCCAAGATATGGTAATATGTAATAATATTTAAAATATAATAATATTTAATTTAAATACAATTTAAGTAATAAACTAAACAATACGTGAAAAGTGTAATAACACCTAATTTAAATAGCATCATAGTAATATTCAAGTTACACAATCAAGACTCAAAGGGTTAAAAACAATATATATGTTATACAGAATAATACAGGAGAAAAAATTCTTCGATAATTACAAAACTCAAAATATCTTGCTATATCAAGAAAGACGATACCTACGTGAGTGAATGACAATGCAGTGCTAACGATAAGAAAAAAGTCAGAACGTATTGCCTTCCGTTGTCAGTCGTAAAGGAAATTAAGATTGTCCACGCAGGTTGGTCTCGATGAACAACACTATAGATCGTTATTCGAGAGACGAAGGAATCCTGTCGGTAGATGGACGCCAAGTTATTTTTAAGAAAAAATCGTCCTGCTCGTTGCCTGTGTGCAGCAACGGAACGTTTGGTCTCGAATTTTCACTATAACACGCGTTCTGCCTATACTAGACGCGGTCCTCCTCCTCCAGGAGTCGTACTACCTCTGAAAACACAGCCAGCGATGATCTTGCCAGGTAATTGCATTTTTCAGACATGATTTGCGAGGAATTTAATTATACATTGTGCTAGAAGAAAACATGAAATTTTTTATTTCATTTTTATTCTGCATGTATGGTATAGTACTAAAATTATTATATGAATATATGAATGGATATATGGCTAAAACTAATATACTACAAATTACAAACAAAGAATTAAATAGAAATAAAATAGAAAATAAACAATAAACTAAAAATAAATTAGAAAATACAGAATAAAATAGAAACAAGTTAAAAAATGGAAAATAAAATAGAATTAAAATTGAAAATAAATAAAATAAAGAATAAGTATTGAATAAATCAAAGAAAATATCGACAAAAATGAACATATCTATACGCAATATATATCAAATGAGCAAATAAATTTAATAGCAAATTCGATAGCTAAAATGAAATTATGACTGCGTTGTAAATGTATAATGCATACTGTATTTTAAAATGAGAAGACATTTTCGCTCGTCAAGCCGATTTGTTAATAAACTATTCAACAAAATTTTTAGAAATATTTTCATTATTTAATTTTCTATTTATTATTTATCTTCGAATTCGCTTGTTCCGTCATATTTATAGCAACATTTCATATTCTCGAAATGTTTCGAGGCGGAATTGAATTAAAATAAACAATGCTTGCTTTTAGTGATATACAACGACCACTCTTTTCACCATGAATACAATGAAGGAAATATTGAATAACGTACCGGATCTGGTGACAAGAGACGCTTTCCCAAGGTAAATTGTCGATTCGTTTCCGCTTAACTCGCTATTGTTTTCAGCTTGAGTCGCATTTCTGATCGACGCCATGGCAATATCGCTATTCCTACATCCTACTCTGAATTTAAAACAAAAATTTTTATTTCCAAATTCATCCCTGCAATCCATACACGAACACGAGATTCAGTCTACGGTGAAACCGGACTAATGCAAACGATTTTGAAAACGCTTGAAATTTTCTGCGATACGGTTGTGGTAATGGTTAACATAAATTTTAATATATCATGATGTTTGTGCGAAAGGATGAGTGTGGCATGTACGCATGGAATGTTTATAGGAGCGACTTTACGTTGTACGAGAAACAGGTATACGTGTAATGAATGACTTGTGGTATGGTTTGCATATTTTTATGTGATGTATGGTAAAAGAGAGAACAAATGTCGTATTAAAAGAGCGAAGAGAAAAGAAATAGATATATTACATCAATAATTATTTACGTCATCCACTAGTATTATTAATTAAATATTTATTATATTTTTGTATATTATTCTATATTAATAACAGTAACAGTAGAACAACATGAAACCTGATAAATTGATTAATAATAAATATTATTTCGTGAATAAATTTGGAGTAATTTGAGATAACAGTAATTTACAGATATTTTTAATAAAAATGATTTGAAGTATACAAAAACTCATTTCTTATCATTTTTATGAAGCTAATTCAATGTAGTAGTAGTTGCAGATTTAATTCAGAGGATCTGTATCATACTTAACGGGGTGACTACTAATGAACACAGTATACTTAATATCATAGGAGGTATTAAATCTATTGTATTAAATAATCGAATAGGGAGAAAAAAAATTAGCCACACTGGTCTAGATATCATTCGACGAGATACGTTGGAAAGGAAAACGGAAAGGAAAAAAACGAGCGAGGTGAAGCGAATGAAACGTCAATATTCTCAGCCGAGGAATAAAGACAGATGCTGACACGTCTCGAGATATAAAACAGGGTACCGAAACGAAGAGGGCAAAATTTTCTATAAAATAAAATTTCGAACAGACGCTAAATGGATAAACTGGTCTTGTTTACCTCCAACAACAATGACAGTCGAAAAGGCCAAGGAACGCCTGTCGAAACTTTCTGTTCATGAAGCAGTACGTGATAGGATTGCAGCAGCTAGAAATATAGGCCAGCAACTGCACTAGGCTAATCCCGGTGCTCCCAACTGTCGAGTAGACCAAGTCTGGCGCGAAAAGGTACCACGTATTCATCACGTGCAGCGGCGCCCAGCAAACGAAAAATTCCAGCACGATCACAAACAGCATCCTGATCACCTGGAAATCACGATTGTTTCATAGAAAGAGCTGCTCCACTCTAAAATCGATCATACTGCCACTACGAGCACTTATTACATTTATTGGATCAACGGCTGCTGTGGAAAGATAAAATAACTAAAACAACGGGTATTGATTGCTAGAAAGATCGTGTTTTTCTGTGTATTCCTTTTCTTTCCTCTGTATTTGTGATTTTAGAGCGAATAAAACAAATTTTATTTCGTGTTAAGGGTTAATATTAAAAATTGCTGAATATTTTTAGGTGAAAGAAAATAATAATTGTTTTATACAAAAATTGTAATCAACTTTAATCAATTTTCAGCTCCATGGATTTTATGGGAGATTATATTCCTTTTTGAAAGTCTTGAATGAACATAAATATACGAGTAATAGAACATGAATTGATTAAACGATAAATCACAAAAAATTAAATTATTTAAATTAAAACATATATATCTATTATATACATTAATATTTTGACAGTGATATTAAACGGCAAATTAAAAAAATATTTAATTAACATGAAATTAAATTTAATTAATTAAATGGAAAAAAATAAGTTACAGGCATGATCAAAAAATTATTCCACCAGGAATATTGTAATATAAAACATCGTAACTTGAGTAGATATTAAAAACGAAATTCAATTAAGAATTATTCTTTTAAGATATATGATACGTTCATTATAATATTTCATATCCCTGGTAAAATAATATAGCGAAATTTCTCGCACCTCAGCATCATCTTCACTCAAATATTTCTAAACTTTTCGTCTCATTAAAAACATGCAATAATTATTTAAATACTGCTAGTTAATTTAATTAACTTTATGTGGTACCATGTGATTTGCAAGATAATGTTTATATTATCTATTAATGTTATGTTAGTTCATTTTATTCCGATATTTTATATCTATTCTAATTAATCGTTCGGTTATTCGAAAAATTCAATTATCCGGTTCTCTTAATATTAATCAGTGCAGGTAATCGAGGTTCTACTGAAGCTCGAATTAAACAAGATGTAAACCACATTAATTTACACGTTGAAAATTGAATAAATAGGATTAGATGACATAAAATAGTTAGACGATAAAGTCACTAACGAAACTATTGTATATTTTTCCAGCTACCTAGTGATTACTCTTTGATCTTCTTTGTGCAAGTTCAAAGAATAAAGATCATCCTTTTCAAGAGATGAGATAATAACGTGTGGGAATAACTGCAGGGAAAATTACGAACAAAGGATTTCCAATTAAATTTAATATTGTAATGGTTTGATGTTTCACGAAAAGTTAGAATTTTGAGGAAAACAGCACAGCGTGGGGAAAGCGAGAATTTGTGAAAATTGTGATAGCGTATCAGAGATATGTCAGAATTAGCAAATTTTCTATAGTCATCGTCATATTGTATTTTACCTGACAACGTTGTGTTATTAAGACGTTGGAATATTTTAAGAATAAACGTGTAAATATCATTTACATTATTCATCCTTATAATGAATAGGGTGTTAAATGTGCATTTTAACTTTAATAAAGTTTACAATAAAATTATACAAATTTCTTAAGAAAATACAAAATTTGCATATGTTAAAACGTGTTGAAAAAATGTAGTATAACTGAATATAATATATATCGCATAATTATTTTAATTGAAATATAATTTTCATATACGATTGATGTAGCTGATCTATTGCGAAGGATTAAGTATGATATTAGGTTAACTCTGCGATATTACACCTGTGAACACTATAAAATTCCTACACTACAAATTGCATACTTTAAATATGGAAATAAATAAAAATAGAATTAAAGAGACTGGAATATTTAATTAAATTAATACAAAATTATTAACAAATAATAAGAAGCTATTGTTTTTGAGAACCAGAAAAAATAAAAATACAGTAAGAATACATTTAATCCCACGATAATTTTATATCAGTTTCGTATCACTATTCTAGTATCATAGAAAATAAAATTAGGAAAATCTAAAACAATAAAGATGAATGACGATGAAAATTCGAATAACATAATGAAATACAAAATGCAAGAGAATCGTTTTACGGTAATAACTACCTGTCGTGAAATGATACATTGCAACCACGCATGTGGGGCGATGTAATGACCAAACACGTTGCTACCATGTGTGACTATCGATCACGGATTCCGTTGTTGTATCAATCCTCGATAGATTGAAATATTATTTGCTTAATACTTCCCTGACACGCAGATAAAACTTCGGTGAGAGTGACTATAATTTGGTATATAAACAAGGATTCTCTAATGGCTCATTCGATATGTCAATAGTATATATTGAAAGACAGCAGTATTTGTTGATACTATATTTACATGTGCATTTTATTGCTTTAATTTTCTTTTCTTAAACATTACTACGTTATCAAAAATTTATATTTGCTCTATTAAGTTGCATATAAGACGACATGTTCAATTTCATGATTATTTAAAATTATTAAATTTGCAATTTTTAGAATTTTTTAATTCCAAGTAGTACATATATACGTATGAATCGATTTAAAGGCTGAATGTATATAATATATAACACAAAGAATGCCTTGCTAATTGTCTTACTGTAAATCACCAATTAGTATACGAAAGTCAGCTACGAACAAATTTAGAATTAATTATAATGAAATGGAACCTTCTTATGACATGAAAGAGGCTTTCGAAGAAGCTCTAAACAGTTTTATTGAAACGAGGTTGGGGAAAATAGTAATGAAAATAGTAGTAGTAGTAGGAAAATAGTAAGTAGCATTATCTGCAATGACGTAATATTATGAAATATTTGTGTTCATATCAATCCACGTTCCTATTGTTCACATTGTTAGACATCATATGAGATATTTTTGAATGCAGGTAGTATTTCACCAAATTTATATCTCAAGAGACAATGTCTGTACAGTATACTGTCATCAAAACTCACACGTATATACATTTATAATACTCCGGTAAAAGTAACAGGATGTGATACAAATTTTAATCGTATTAAAATAAAATAAACATTACGCTGCTTATAATATATACCTTAATTGAAATTAAATTACCTATGCTAAATGTCTGCGTTACAATTAAAATATCGAATAAAACAGAAATTCCAAGGAATTAAAACATCTATTATAATATTTAAAATGTCTTCTTCCATCATTGTTTTAAATTAAAATATCTACGACAAGATGTATTATTTAAAATTAAAACATTTAACAAAAGTAAAATTTTTAAAAATTAGGATATCTAATTTTACAAATTATCTAAAGAAATTATTGGCAAATATTTACATGCATGAACGTATCTGATTTACTATCACATATATGAATGATAATAGTTATGAAAGAATAAGAAGTACTAAATGTTTCGTGTTATGATAAATATTTAGAATTAATTAAAAAATTTTGTATAGTTTAATTACTTTTTTTTTGGCCTCGATACTTTTTCCCATGTAATTGCTGCGTATAACGTGTTGTCTGCTGAAGGGACAATTCGAATCCTGCTGTTCTTCACTGGAAGAATCCTTTATGTCCCTGGACAGGCAGCTACTTCCATTGCTGCGTACCTGTACCCCCGATTCATGGGAAAAATCCGGTCCTTGACATTTTCCAGTGAGAACCCTGGAGATCCCACGTGGGACACGTACCTTTTTAGAAAAATCGTACATAACCCGGTTAATACCTAGCATAGACACTGTGTTAGTTAAGTTTACGATTTACTTACGTTATATGTACTGTATTATATCAAGGTAGACAAGTAAAAATACTAGATATTCAGAATACTTGAAATTTAAGTCCGCGAGTAATTAATCATTGTCTTTGTTTTGTAAAAATGTATGAATTTTAGAATTTATGGGAAAAGCAAGTATTACTATTTATACTGTAACATACTATGTAATTTTCCATTGCTATGGATGTGACTTTTTAGTTTTGATTTATTATTTTTAATTGTACAGTAGTTTTCTATCTTTTTTTTTTTAATCAATTGACCTTTTATTCGTATCATTTTTTATATTAATTCTTTGATTCTATTAATTCGTTAATGTACAAAGAATTATAAAAAAGTTCGGAAATTACAATTTTCATTTTTATGATTATTTCTTTTTCATCTGAGAGCGATTTAAAAAGAAAATGGTCGCAATATTACTACGTGTACTTTCAGCCAGCATGTGTGTGAAATTTACATTTACCTACATACGTCTAACAAGACTCGACGTGACGAAAATTCAAATGTGATCAGGTCAAAGCGTTTAGAATGTTTAATGCGTATATCTGGAAAGCAGTTAAAAACATGTTGAATTAACAACGTGAAGTTTTGCAAAATCAACATTTCAGAAAATATAAAAATTTCAAATTTCAATATTTATTTAAAATATGTATAAATATGTCTAATATGTATAAACTAAATTATGTAACTGGCAACTGTCATAGCATGATTATAAATAATTAGAAGCATAAAAATAAAAATGACAAAAGTTTAATCACAATTGTGAAAGCTAAAACCGTTAATTCGTCTGAAAATGTCGTTCGTCAAACATTTTCGAATAACGATAAAAGTAGCAAACTGCTCTTTTTAAATTGACTTGTTTAAATCAATTAAATAAAAATGTTCTTTTATTAAAATATCGTTTTAATAAAATAAATTTACAAAACCTGTTTAAACTGAGTTACAGGAAACATTAGAAAAATTATTTAATCCGCTTCAATTTACATTCAAATTTTGATGTTAACCCTTTGCGGTCGATGTCCCCGCAGCGAGGATATTCGCAAGTCGAAAAAATACAGAAAACTAAAGAAAATTACAGAAAATTACAGAAATTAAAAATTTTGTATTTTTACGTATTATAAGTAGTATTAAACACAATTCAGTTTCAACAAATTCTGTACACTTTAATATCCATATATTTGCTAAATTTGCTCTGCAGAAATCTGCCCACCACAAAGGGTGAACGTGAATTCATATATTTTAAATAAAAATTAATAAATGCATTACATAAAATACGTAGGTGTAAGTTGTAAATTAACGAAATGTGAAATTTTTTATGAAATAAATGAAACCATTTCATGAACCATTGGAATGAAACCAAAGGAATATGCTTAACCGAATATGAAACATATTTCAGTGTTCAAATGGAATAACTTTAAAAGACTTTTCAGTGTACCATATTTCAATTTCAACTTTCGATACGACCAATACATCGAAGATTATACACTGTAGCCTAGAAAGTGATTGACAGCGGAAGTTCGAATTTTAACTAAATTCATAAGACTTTTCAGTGAGTGAAATATAAAGACTTCAAAAATAAAATTTACAGAGTGTAAATATTACTTGAATAAAATATATTTTACATCACATTGCAACATATTAATATAGTAAGCATTAATATTAATGATACCAATGTAGGAATTATTAATATAAATAGCTCTAATATATAGTAATAATCAGGAACATTAATACATTATTATTAAAAGTTAACATATTCATATGTTCAAAGTTTAGTTCAATTTTCCAAAACTATAAACAAGTTTACTATTATTAGAGAACCGTATCAGATTTTACATAAATCAATTACATAAATATCACTAGTGTATAGTAATAATTAGTAATATTAATATACTAGTGTACAGAAAATTTAATCAAATTCTCCAAAATAACAAACAAGCAGATATAATAAATGTCATTTCCCAAGACAGAAAAACTATTAGATTAAAATATTACGTATCAAATTTTTCTATATAAACACATTTTCAATGTTTATTACAACAAAAGAGACGTGACTCGCAGTTCTCACGAATATTCAGAATACCTACTATTCTTCATCCTAAAGAGGCTACAAATAAGCAAATATCTACATCTCTTCAACAACGTTGTTGCTATACAGTAGCCATGCATAAACTTACTATCTCTCGTCGCTTCTTTCTCAGAGTTGATGGAATACTTTTGGGTATTTTATTTTTCAACGAAGTCTAACGAAACGAATGAACGCAATATTTTATCTCGTTTGCAAACGGCTTGTATCCCACTGACAGCCACACGAGTTTCAAGAACATCAAACATGTCATTTGTGATGGAAAATGTAACATGAAATCGATCAAAGTTACATTGAAAAAATGATTTTGTATTTTAATTAGAAGCAAATGAACCTTTTCGCAAACAAATGTTGGTTGTGCATGGAAGTTATTAAATGATTTAAATATTTCTAAGATACAATTCGGTTTTGTGTTAGCTCGATTTTAGAATTTCTTAATAGAAAGGTTCACATTTCGATAATTTATAGTCTCCTTGTACACAAAATTAATAATCTATGTTTATTTTTGACAAACTTATCCAGCATACGCTTATAAAGAAATTGAAAATTGTTATTCTTTGAAAATCAGTATTATTAAATATTTATAGTAAGAGTATAAAATTTTATAATATTGATAGAATAACATAAAATTTCAATAATTTAAAATTCCTATATTGTGAAATTGATTTCCAATACGAATTTGTAAACATCGAATTTATTTCTAAGTGTATGCTGAATAAATGTATAAAATGTGAATGCGAAGCAGAATAAATAAATAAATCAAATAATACAGAATACATTAAATACGTCAGTTATATACTGTACCAAAAATATTTCAGGATAAGTCTATTTGAACTTTTCACATAAAAGAAACCCAATTTTATGGTTGATAAGAAAGTTAAAAAATTAATCGTTCACGCATCACGTATTAAAAAAAAAAGCTCTTTTATGGTATTAAGTTCTGAACGAAGTATGAATAAAAGACCTCCATTATACCTTATATTAATTAAAATTAAAATGGGTTTAACAGTATCAAAACGCGTATCCATTTCGAGGAAGTAATAAAATTCACGTCTTTCATAAAGATTTGACTAAAACTGATTACTCCTTATGCGAATTTAGTATTTATTTATTACTTAATATCTAGGTCCCTATATCGAGCTTTACTATACAATAATTTACAAGTATAGAGAGAAGATTAATAAAACGTATCTTATTTCCAAATATTAAAAAAACAATAAAATAATTGAAATTTATATATACGATATTTTTAAATTAATCTTTGAAACAGACCTCCATCTTTGAAATTCATGAGAAGCAAGATCGCCATATTCTCTTGAGGAATAAGCTATAATACTTTTCGGGAAACAAACTTTTATACATTTACGGCAGAGACAAATTTACTATATCAAAACGCAACCGTTTTCGATACTCAAACATCTGTTTTTATTTAGATCAAATTTGTTAAATATTACCGAATTTAATAACACATCAGATTTGCAAAAGAAATTTAGCAGATATGATCAAATATTACGCTTCCTTCTTTTTTTTTTATTCCAAAAATCAGTTTACGTTAAATCAATAATGATATAGTAATATTATATATCCAATGTTTATAATCTACCCAATAGTTAATATAAAATACAAAACTTTAGGTAAGTGAACGGTAAATATGTTTGACAATAAATTTGAAAGACTTTCTTCTAGCAATTTTACGATTTCTCGAAGCTTTAAAAACCCTTTTGATCCTGCTAACTTATTTTACTTCTTCCCACGTGTACTTAACACGCACAATGGGATTTAAATTTGTATCAGTGTGGCAAGAACATGTGGATAATTTCAAAGGAGCAAGCAGTAGATACTCCAAGCTTTCTACAATACTTCGTAAAATAGAATCCATATAATATAATATAGTATTCGGTATTTTTTCCAGATTACATAAGAGAGATATTCTCTGTAACACAGTATATTTGATACTTAATAATCAATTAACAACACACGAGTAAAAGTTTAAACAGAAATAAAGGAAAAATAATTTTACAAAAGTAAATCCAAAAAGAGAAATAATCAATCATCAAATTAGGTCAACTTTAATTATATAATCAAATAGTTAAACATACGAATGTCTCATAAAATGTAACAACCATTATATTTCATCCTTAAAAGTTATTAAACTATTCCACTCTAACCAGAATTCGCATCGGCGTTCTACAGGAATAAAATATTGACAGAAGGATTAAACTTAAGCTTCAACGTGTCCTTGTTAACACTGTTTCCATTTTATGCAAAATTTCCTTCATTCTCTGTTGACATGGTCCCACACTTTACTCTCTGAATTCGTACAAAACCGTGTATACTTCTATTTTGCGAAACATTAACTTCTTTACAATTTTAATCACGAAACTTCATTAGACATCATAATTGTATACCAAAATAGATATTAAAATTGTGAAATTTTTTGGCGACTTTTCTAAAACAATTCGATTGCCAAAGGATTAATTTCCTTTATTCTACCATTGAATGTCACTGAAGAACATGTTACTAACCGTACCATACAGCTATCGAGCCAAACAGATCGACAAACAATTCTCTCGTGTTTCTAGCTCGGTTCAAGCAAATTTAACCGAACTCTATTATAAGTACGATCGACCACGAGTGCCAACAGAGCATCAGAAAGGGTACGTAGATGATAAAACATTCAGACGACAGTGAGTACGAATCGCAGAATCGGGCAGCTGATTTTCAATTTCAAATCAATATCAACAATTATGCTGTTATTGTACTCCTGTTCTCTGTTTCAACCCTTTGCATTACAAGAATATCTTTATTCCATTGACCAGCAACGCGAAATCAGCTAACACGCCTCGGTAGCAAGGTTCGAAACTAAAAATTTTGCTTTGAAAAGAAAAATATTATATCATAATTGTAAATACGCTTGTTATTAAAAATCTATTAAAAGTTCTAGTCATCCTTTCATGTTTGTCAATAAGAAAGAAATGAATGAATTAATTGCAGATCCTCGATGTTTCAAAGTACAAAGGATTAATATCAAATCTATTGTATTTTTGACTACGTAAGAAGGAATTAAATTTTCACAACGAAAGCTTGTATTTGAAATGCTCAACGAGATCAGACTAAGATGGGATTAGATTTACGTATGCAAAATGGGTAATAATACAGTGGCCGAAATTCTCAGTCTGAAATTCAAAACTCCCGAGTGGTAAGGGTATATATTGTGCTTTTCCTTCTTATCTTCTTTCACTGATAGCGAGTGCTATTAATGGGAATCATATCTTTACAATAATTATTTATAATAATATTAATTATAATAATTATCGTAGAAATTGAAACAAATAAGGATAAATTTTTGGAATTGCAATTTAAGCAATCGCCATTTTCTAAATTTTTTTTTAGGCCATTAATTATTTTGGTCCCGGAAATAACAGTAACACTTTTTGACTTTTTTAGTTTTAGTCAAACCTGAGATCCATAATAATCAATTTAAGCGTATGAATGTGAGTTCAATGTAGATAATAATTAAAATAATATCAACAGATAGTTAAATAAATTAGAAAAAAAAATTATAACATTGTATGCAACATTTAATTTTAAAAAATTCATAAAGATTGTTAAATTCTGCATCATTCACATTCATGCATAAAAATGATTTTCTGTACACGAGTATCTATTAAAATTTTTATTTTACTACCGTTCGGAAATTTTTATTTTTTATTCCATATTCGAATATTTAATATTAAAAATAATAATAATAAAAATGATTTTACACCGAAAAGATTGATCTCCTAGAATATATTAATTTATTAAAGATTGTTTGCTACTTTTCACGAGTACAGTATAACTTTGAAAGTCTACAACCTATTTTCACCACCCTATAGAAAATATGTATATATATATATTGATATATATTTTTTCTATATATACTTTTTCTTCTCAAGAGAATTCGATACAGCTCAACACGTCTAGAAAATTGTCAAAGATATTTTCGATGGGTTTGCAAGCGATTAAGGATAAGCTCACGTGACCTCTCACCAATCCCCTCGTAAGTCAAAATCTGACGACCCACTTTCTTTCCCCCGACGATATTCTGTCGTCACTTTCTCACCCTAGACGGTATTCCCTGTGGAGCACCATGAAAGTATCCGTGGGAAGTGGACGAGAATCCACGCCTCAATCTCGAGGATGCGCCAGAGGCATTCAGGACGACAGTGGTACTGGCTCCTCGATCATCCTTGTCATATGTTGAATTCCGAGTCGTTCTGCTGGATGCTGTTCTCCCTACTGCAATGCGGTTTCGTCAGTTGTAGCAATCAAAACTAAATCGAATCCTGATAACGATCCTTATCTTACTAGTCTTCGAACTCTCGTCTAATACGAGTTCTAATCGGGTTTGTAATCTTAATCCTTCAATCCTTGACGAATTTTCCATGCATGTAATAGATCAGATATATGTATTTTTGAAATTATTTGCTAAAATTGACGTTAATTCGTGATTCGTATCTGTCAAAACCAAGTCAAAGGTTGATAATAATCATTCTTTCTTATCTTCGTCTAGTACGTATAATTCCTGCAATACTTTATGAATTTTCTGTATCTTGAAAAATATACATTTCTAAAAGCGTACGTTGAAGTTAACACATTTTTTGAAAAATAACTGTAATTTCATAGTTTCTTTGGATTTTGGGATAAAATGCGTGTACCTTTGTATAAGGAAGGGAAACCCATTTTATAGAAATTAAATATCACGAAACAGAGAGTTCTACACTGCATCTGATATCATAGCATAATGATAGGATATCGTACAGTTTGTATTTTAAACTACAATCGAAATTATAATTATCTTTCCCTTTGTTTAATTAAATTGTTTCACACAAAATTAAGTAAACTGTAGTAGAATGGTGAAAAGAATTGGAAATGAAAACACTGAAAAGCTACAGAAACGCAGAATTTAAAGCATAAACTTCAAACGTTCCGCGCCTTTAGAATTTTTCGTAATTACTCGTTCTTTCAATTGCGGAACCTGACCATTCAAACCACATCTACAGCAGCAATTTTATAATTTCATACATCCTAATTCTACTTGAATTGTAGTCTGTAATCTATATTTTTAACTGTAATCTATACAGGGCGGATCTCACACAGGTTCATAGCTTCGTAATGTCGTCAAAAAGCGCGATGTAATTATTTGGCATCAAACGAACAAGTTTGACTGAGAATAATATTCAAATCGATACTTACGACGTTGTTGGCAGCTCGATGTTTCCCGTATTTCCTGCCGTAATCCTCGCCAAAGTTTCGCCGCAATCAGAGAATAAGCCATGCTCATGATGATCAGTGGAACTAGAAGAAGCGTTCCATCCAGAAAGATATTGTAAGCTTGTTCTGTGGCGACGCTTGGCCATTCTTCACGACACTTACGCCTCCCTGAAACACCAAACGTCGAACTTTCTGAGTTTCTCCTGAAATAAATGAGCGTCGTTGAGATAGCTGAAATGTCGGAGCCAACGGTGCTTTTAGGTTTCATTGAAAAAGTTGGGAGTTGCAATGACGAAGTGAAAAACGTTTGAGATCGAGCTGAGAGATACTTTTTCAAAAGTATCGATCAACAGGAATCTTATATCTGATGTTATTTTTGTACAGTCACGTTGGAAATATTATCATCATTTATCTAGAAGTCTTGTGAACTTTTCTTTAGCTAAAAAAGGGGGACTTTTTAGTGAAGTTTGTGGAAACACGAGTAATTAATTAATTAACACAAGACCTATTGATCTGTATGTAATTAATATAATTAATAATTCAAATGATATAATGAAGTAAATAGAGATACATAATTTAATTATTACAATAGGTACACATATGTAATATGTATATATTTGATAATAATATAAATTAATTTTAATTGTAGTAATAAATATAATATCTAATATATATATAGATTATATATACCTAATCGGAATATGTACATAACTATATATCGTCTTCGATAATATTAAACTAGAAATATTATATCTTGTACATATATAATACACGAATTCCTTATTCTTTAGCGAGGTGTTAACTATTCAAAAATCGTTTCTGTATTTTTGCGCTCGAGATTGCAAGTGAAGAAAGTACGAGGGAACTGAGATGAAAATTACGTGTAAATGGTGTAGTCTACGGAAAAGATTAATAGCTATAGCTCATTAAAAGTAATTAATTAAGCTTATAAACCACCGTGCACGAAGAATGTAGAAGGTTCAGGTACTCATTATTAGATATTATACGTACAGTGCTATGAGCATCTTCTCACAATATTTCATCAACCATATTATACCCTAATATATTATACAGGTTTAACCAATATTCTTCACATAAATAATTAATTATGCCTGTGTATAGATTATTATGTCGCAAATTCCATTTAAACAGTAAATGATTATCTAAATTAAAATTAAGGAATATTCATATCGAACGAAAATTAAAATAATTTACTATAAACATTTAAATATTTTTATCATCACGTGTGTTAGTATTGGAAAATCTAATTTAACAATACATCTATCACGCCCGGTCAAATCAGAAAAGGAAAGAAGAATCTCAAAAAAAGAAGAACAAAAGGAAATATTGAAAAATTGATTATACATATATACTAAAAGGCAAATCACATCGAATAACAAAAGTGATAATATTGAATGCAGAATTTTAAATCAAAAACTTAAAAATCGTCGTTTAAGTTGTGGTAGGTTTAGGATTAATAACAAAATTTTTATCATACGGGTATATTTGTCATTATTTCGTATAATCCAAGTGAATGAAAACCCTTTTTGTTTCATGTCGATACGACTTTTCCTTACGGAGATATCGCCGAGCAAAGGAAACACCAATGTTTACGTTTTAGCTGTCTGTCTCGCTCTCGCGATCCGACCTTTCGCTTGCACGCGTCACTGACCTTGTTTTAAGTTCTTCCTTGCGCTGGTCAGTGACAGACGACTTTTCTCTACCGCTAGACAGCTGTGCTGATTTCTAGCAGCGAAAGTAGGTCACGGCGTTCACGGAACTTCGATTGCTATTGGCTGTGTATTCCGCGCAACTTAAAACTGTATATCTCGGAAACGGATTGAGATATCGAATTGAAAGAAAATATGCTTTCAATGAAATGAGTTCCTCTATCTCTTGCAATAATCGGTGATAAAAACTTGCACGTTTTTTCTGTTCATTTTTCTACTCGAAGATGTACTTTCATTATCGATATTGAGAAAACAAATATATTTCATACCAAGGAAGATTAATATTGTTATTTTTGATTTATGTCTTGGCATGACAAATGTCTTTGGCATTTGATAGCGTCTGTTTGAGAAAATATTTGAGAATATGCTATATTCAGAATCTGATAACGTTGTATGGCGCGAAACAAAATATTCAACTTAATAATAAATCATAGATTTATAATGAACAAAAAAATTGATAAACTACCAACTATTGCAACGAAAAAGCAATTATTAGTAAATTAATAACGATCGTGAATTTTCACCGATTTTCACAAATTGTTTCATCATTTTTCGAAGAATAATCTTTGGCAAACGATGGAAAGATAACAGCAATTAACTAGTATTTGCAATTCCTTGTAAAGTTTCGCATTAAATAAATATAGGTTTTAACTGGTTCAACGTTTGAGGAATATTTTATGGGTAATAACTGACGAAAAGTCATATAATTTCGTTTCAGGCAATATGTACCAGAAACGAGTACAAATATGATGTAAAATATTGAAATTATTTATTCGTGCGTTCAATGTTTTAATCGTGATGTATAATGGCGCAGCAATTTCTTTAACAAGATGGTTATTACTTATTATCTCATGAAATTGCTACAATCTCGTGAGATTAAATCTTACGGGAAATAAATAATAATAATAAATAATTTTTTAAAATAAAAAAAAACACTCATAGCTTTCAAATCATCTCGTAGAAATAATTTGTAAATTCGATGAAAAAATTGTAAAGTAGCAAATTAAATCCAACTAACTAACCAATCTAATGGCATTGTTCGTTTCGAAACCCCACTATTAAATATTTATACAAATCGAAAGATAATATACAGTTAAAACTTCATGATCAGATTTTGAATATTATCCGTATTCAATAAATATACGAATAGAATATTTGAAATGTGTCGAGTGACAAATTACTTAGATCAATAATGAAACATCGAGAAAGTAGTCTTACCACCACGTATGCTTTTCAGTCGTGAAACAACGAGGATGGGTGCATTCCAAGTAAGACTGGCTGTCCAAACGACGGCAATCATTTTGCAAGCGTGGAATTGTGTTTGCCACCTTCTCGACTTCAGTGGTCTGCAAATGGCGAAATAACGCTCCAAGGAGATGGCGACCAATGTCCATACGCCAACAGACACAGAGACGGCTAACAAGAAAAAGAAAACGGTATTAATGGATCGTGAATATTAATCAATAACGAAAATTGCAAAATAATGAAATTTTGCATAAGTAAGATACGGGGTTGAAAAAAATGTTCTCTTTTTGAAAAATTCACAAAAATGATGAATTATATACCATTTGTATTTATAATATCGATAAATGCATAATTCATAGTATGGCACATTAGAAATAAATTCGAAGAAATTTTGTTTACAATTTTAAATACCGCGATGTGAAAATAATTATTTGAAATTCATTTGAAAGTCGCATATTGTATAGGTAGATATTTAATAAAATATAAGTAACGTAAATATTAACGATCTAATTTATCGACTATTTATTGAAATAATAAGTTCGATATGAGATTTTAATGGTACCTGATGATAATTTCTTGTAAATTAACTACGGTCATGCAACGATGGTGACAGGCCTATTAGAGATTGCAGGCCAATACCGACCTTTGGACTTCAAGGATCTTCGATACTATGCAGGCATGAAGGGGTCGGTTTTTAGATTTAAAAGGGCCTGCTGTCTCTTGCAGCAGTCAGTCTCAAATCCGGAACAGTGTAAAGAGCTTTTAAAGTATGGTGACCCATAGGGGCCTGTTTAAAGCTGTTGTTTTTTATATTCGCATAAGTGTATATATTTCACCTATATTAAACTTTATATATCTATTGCTGTACAACCGAATACGGTTACTTCCCTGCACGCTAAACGCTTTGATTTCGTTCCCTAAATCCCAACATAATTAATAATGGCATCGTATTACAGTACTAATGTTTCTAGCAAACCTAATGTCCGATTATCGAAATAAATTATATCGTATTACGCTGAGTATCATCGATTAAAGATAATAACTGTAATAAAGAATAAATTAGACGAATTAAATCATGCTTAACCTATCTCTTCTCGTTTAAGCGATAAATATTGGTAAAAATTGAAATACCTTATAAATTATTACTCAACGCCTTTGAATTTCTTGCGTGTGCGGAAACAGGCGAATATTTATCACGAAAACCAACCAATAGCATTTGCAACGATTTATCCAACAACCAATATGGAACACATTTTAGTACCTCCGAAAATGTGGTACGCAATTATCAAAGACAGGTAAGAAAAGTTAGGCAACGACCATCTTGCTCTTTATCGAAATATGTATTAAGGAACCTTGAGACAAAATTTTATTTTATTGTACAAGGAAGATAAGAAAGTGGACTCGCATAAAATTTGCAAGCCAAAGCAGGCATTACCGTAATGGAAAATCGAGAGTCTGCGGAGTATAGTAATTAAGGTGAATTATGGGGTGTCATGTGTACGATATCGTTACAACGAGGCATTTTCTCCTGCATTTTTGCACCACGAATCGAAACCAGGGAAATAAATCTTTGCGGATAAATCCGGGAACGTGATGTTGATGGCACGGTTGGGTCTACGGTGTTAAGCTTTTTACAGTTCCAGAGATTTGTGCTTCACTGCACAATTGCTTTAAGCATCGGATCGTAAACGTCGAGTGGCGAAATTTCTACCTTTTGAAATTAACGTTCTCACGAGAAAGATAAATGTTGGCAATGCAAATTGATACTGTAGGAAACCGGGATACGCTACGTTAATTCTGTAATGAAAATTTCTTTCGTAGTGGTAAGATAAATATTATGGACAGGCAACATGAGTGTACAGGTGATCTTGTGGATATTGCATATTTTCATATTTTTCTAATATTGTTATTTTCTATGCATAACTGAATTTTTGTAACATTTCTGGATATTGTTGCATTCTTTTTTATATTTATTATGAAACGATTTTATGATATTTATAAATATTGTTATATTATCGTGTTTTCAGAATATCTATAAGTATAGTAATATTTTTATAGTAATATTATTGTATTATTTTATATTATTAATTATACAGAAACATGACATTTATGTCACGAGAATACAATGCAGTATTAAGAATATAATAGTGCACAATAATTTTGTGCAAATATTACTGTGTTTTGTATACAACAAGAACATTATAATATTCTAGAAGATATTCAGATTAATCCCGAAATACTTCATACTTTGCCCACATAATATATTCCACTAAAGCTGCAAATATTTAATAATCAGAAATACGATTTCGACGTGGTTTATTTTCACAATCCTATTTATTTCAAAATTGGAATATATTAATATAATAATGCGTAAATTAAACCACGCCTTATGATATTATTATATCATTTCAATTATTAATTAACAAGATTATTTTTCCATCAAAATATAAACAGCGATGGCAGTATAAAAATTTGAAAATTCAAATACGGATCTATATACCCAACGTACACCTTTGCTAACAATTTTTCGGAATCGTTCATTTATTTTTCTCATTTCCTTTATGTTTATACGTTGATTTTCTCTATTTCTGTAAATATTGATTATAAAAACATCCGCAGGATTTGAGAGTGATATCCGCACGATTAAACTTCGTTAGAGCTACTAGAAAATGGAAATTAAACCATCCCAACGGTGACCCGAAAATATTGGCGCTTCGATCCACCACATGATTAATAAATCTCGTCAAATTGATAGGAAGCCAATTTGTTTCGTTCCTTACGCGCTGTTCGTTTCATCCGCATCTCTTTTCCTATTACTTCTCTTATTACTTAATATTCACACGAATATTATTCATTCGATATTTTATTTGTTGTATAATACGCTGCATTATATCGATAAACGAATATTATTCTATCCTGCCAATCTGTAGATTATTTGTAAATTGTAAATCACATTAACAATATTAATTTTAACTTTACGGAAGCAAAATAAATATTTACAAAATTTTAATTCAATTTTATTTCACAGAATTAAGTATTCAGTTATCTATAAATATGAAAATACGTAGAAAATAATTTTCCAAAATAAATACTTGATAATTTCAATAAATAATAATTATTTTATACTAATAAATGTTACCAAATTTTTTATTTTGGAAATTACTTAGTTATCGATGAACGTAATAATGTATAAATCCATATAAAATATTTATATTACTTATAAAATATAAAGAATTATAAACATATGTTTTGTCGATATGTGAATTTAGTACAAGAGTGATCCTATTTTACGTTATTAACGAATACCAGTGAGATTTTTTGATTACGAAGAGAATTTGACGGTCAAAGGTTATACTAAACGAGCCACGGAACTTGTATGTTCCTCTCTGATATCTCTATGATGTCTGTGATCTCCCCTTTGCCCCCTTTTGGCTTCTGCTGCAATCGGTTTGGTCATGCGATGGTTTTCGGTAGCCTTATTTTCATTACAACCTGAGCGTGCTTTTCATGGTGAAAGAGGATGTTGGAGAGGGGTCACTATTGAATTTGGAGTGCTTGGTATCAGATGACGTTTGCGTTCACCGAGACAAATCGTTTGAACGAGAAACTTGACTTAAATTTCGAGTAGATTGAACCTCTATTCTGATTATCAAGCTCGTAATATGATTTGGTTTATAAACAAACATTAACACACGTTAAATAGTAATTTTTTGATAAGAATTAGAAATTAGAAGAAATTAGAACTAGAAATTAGAATTTATTAAAATTAGAATTGGATGCTGTCGAAATTTAATCTAAATCATATTGCATGAAATTATTTCGAAATAGCAAACTTTGTTCAATAAACGGTGTCGTGTTTATGCTTCGTGGTTTCATATATACGTATAATTAGATATAATGAGTTAATAAAATATTCGTACCTATTCGTTCAATAATTTCATGAAATTGCTATTATTTTATACCATATACAAAATTTCATTGCTACGAATATCTTCACGGTATTATTTGGTAACAATTTATTTTAATTCCAATTTATGGTTCACCGAATCGTACACCGAATATTCGGCAACCGATTTTATGATAATCGATAGCTTAATTAATACGACATATATTCTCATTCATAAATATATTGAAACTTGTTTTACAAACGACTAGTAATCGTTCAGAGTGATATAAAAAGAGATATAAACTTTTACTTGTATTATATTGACATTTTATTCTGCAATAAAATTTTTGTCGCTCGAGAGGATAATTAATGAGAAAATATATCTCCATTGGGAATGATTTCAAAAATGGCATATTTAAATAACAGCAATTATTCGAAGTCGATAATTGGATGGGTATGAATACTTCTGTGACATTAATTCTGCACCTACCTTAATTTCTGTTTACGTTACAGCAAATCGTTACTTCGCGGTAAAATTTATACTTTATTAAATCCAAAAGTTACATAAAGTTGTACCATAAAATAGCAATAATTATTTATATCTATCAATGAGGTGGATATTTGCATACGAACATCTTTATGACTTTAACGTTACATAATAATAGTCTTTCATAGTCGCCAATTGCAGCAGTGTACGAATAGCTAAATGACACACTATATCCATATCAAATATTACATTAATCAAGGCAGACAAAATGACTCGATCCAAACAATTAAAATTTTTTTATTTTTGTAGCTGTTGTAAATATATAGTTGCTTTTGTTGCAGTCATACTGATTAAATCAGAATGCTTCATTATTCTTAATATTTTATTACATAGTTATAGCTCTCTAGCAACTATGAGTTTTCAAATATTCGCGGAACACTTAAACGATTTTGCACCACCTACGTTTAATTATAAGTTAAAGTTCTCACCCAACACACAGTCGAGTTCGAAGTCTTATACCTAATGAGCAAACTCGGTGTTAAACTTGTCAGCTAAGGAGTTGCTAGGATTGTCTCAGTTTATAGTAGTATTACATAATTTTATACTACATACGTTATCAACATATATATATTTTTTAGTAAAATATTGGTACGTTCTATGGGCGAAGATAAGAGAAAAATGGTGTATAATACTGTAGGCTCAAAAATGTTTTAAATTATGAAACATATAGAGAACGATAAAGAAACGAAAATCTGCATTTTCTCAGACGAGGAATGAAAATTGTGAAATACGAAACAGATAAGCAAGGAAAATTGAATTATTTGTGATAACAGTAGAAAATATAGAAAATATGGAAAATATGAAAAATAGATTTAAATAATTACTCAAAACTAGAAATCCAACATTTCCCAGGTGATGAATAAAAGTTATGCAATTAATTGGTGAGAAAGCAATATGTATTAGACAACATATTACATTATTTTTCAATTTCTGACAGTTACAGAAAAATATGGAAGTACGTAAGTCGTATGTAACAAATATGTAAAGTAAAAAGCAGGTTCAATTTATGAGAAATATATGGAAGGATACAATTCTTACGTGATATATAGCTGTAGTCTAATGAGTGTGAAGAGTATGAAGGGGAGAATATTCAGCTTCAAATATGAAACCGGATATTCGTTGCAAGAGTAGTGATAAATAGAGTCTACACTCGTACGAGGATATTCCGTATTGATGTAAAAGGGAGAATTGCTGCATATTATTATATCGTACATGCTTTCACCTTTCTCTGCGTATTCAAGAGGAAATATCATGGCACGGAAATCGATATCTATACCTTCAGTGTAATAATTTAAGAAAAACAATTAAACAAATTTACATTCGCGCGCAATATTTATATTCTACTCCTTTTTTCCATTACTGTGTAATTCCGTCAAACAAAGATAAATGAAAAATGGTATAAAAATTGACAACTAGGTTATACTAGAAGCTTAATTGAAATAAAAGTTTATGAGAAAATAATGTGCACGATTAGAACGTAACAAAATATTTAAAAATACTTAGAGGCAAATTTTATCAATATTTGAATTATTAATTATATGAAATATAAAACCCACAATCCAAAGTACTGTCAAAATTTAACACAGTGATATTTATTTGAAAAAAAACATATATTTCCGTCTTAGTACCTTTCTAGAAATAAAATATTTATATCGGTCAAAAATGTTTTCGTGCTTTACCGTTTGTTCTTTAATGTATTCTGCTCGACAATAGTCATTATGTATATACACAGATCACGAAATTTCCGTGAAACTTTAGAAATAATAAAAGGTACGTCGCATATTAATTAACAGATATCGATATTAATTAACGCGTCTATTTTAATACAATTCACTCAAAGTCTAAATATTCTACATAAGACATATGCAATTAAAATTAATACATGTTCATTTCCAAATATGTCAAATTTAAGCTCGTTTGTTTCTAGATACATTGAAATTAATTTAACGGGAGGCCGCTCCTAAATATTCCGAAATTAATGAAAGACCGTTTCCAAATATTAAGAATTTAAATTAATAAGATTGAAATATAAAGAAACGAAATTACGAGTTGGATATTTGCTGAGTTATATTTTTATTATAGTATGATGAAGAAATTTTTGATATCGCCAGTGCAGTTTTTATGGAACTAACCAAAAAATTAGATTTATTTAGTAACGAAACAAAGTGAAGCTTTAATGAAATTTCTATTTGATATCATTTCGTGTTTATTACTACCAATAATATTTATGACATTTATCGCTATAGCAAATAAAATATTAACGCGTCACTTTCACGTTTAAAATGAAACATTCCATTATTCATCAACAAATATCGATACGCCTTCGTCCACGTGTATAAAAGATATTTTAGTAGCAGTACGTTTTTCTAGTAAAAAAAAACAAATGTAATGTAAAAACAATGGTACAGAAGAGTCTACAATATTCTCTAAAGAAAGTGAACCAATTCTGCTACGAATTGTATCGTTCTAAATTATGCAAACTGCAGGCTTCCTCGTAATCCGGCACCAAACGGCCACTCACCCACGCTATTGTATAAATTACCATATTTATCAGACTATCTTATACATACGTATCCTACGGATAAAAATTTACACATCTAAATATAATCGTATAGATTTATTAAAACTATTATATCACAGATATATTTCAAACTATATTATGACACTATGAACTGAATTCGTGATGTAATCGTTAAATTATTAAGTCAAAAGTTGAGGGAGTAGGAAAGAAAATTAGTTTCACGTTCATCACCTGTTTCACGAACATTTACTACGTTCAATTACGCTGGTTAATTGTTTTCACAAGCGCGATGCTAATCATAAGACAAAGTAAATGACTAGCAGACATTAAAGAGTTTCTTGTGTTGCAGATTGAAGACAATTTGTCTTCGGTTAGAAAATGGGCAACATAAAATACCTGTATTTCTATTAAAATAAAAATATATATTCTAAATACAATTTTGAGTTTTGTTCTACGAAACGAGCGGAACTAGAAAAATTCTCATTTAAAACTTTTTATTCCAAAAACGGAAGCCTTCACGTTGCTGGTTCTATTGTCATTCAATCGGCCCAGAGCAAGATCATATTCAAATTAAAATGAACGTTTGCTTTGGGTATGTTCGTGTTTGTTTCATTTTATTTTTTACCGTGTACAAATGCCTCTGGTATTTCATTAATTCACGGTCGGATGCCTGCAGACTTTTCTTTGAAACGAGAAAACCAGCTTTTATTGTGTCAAAGAAAGTCGTATAATCATCAATCGTATGTTTCAAAGATGATGAATTTTAGTTATTTAACGACAATTCAATTACAAAAATAATGAAATGTTTATGAAAATTAAGTAAAATTACAACATAATTAAAATTCACTTGAAAAATTACAAATGTCTGTAAACTCATTTGACGTGCTGTAAAATTTTAAATTGTCCTAATTTCCCCTGAAAGAACCGCAAAAATTTAATATTAATTACCTAGATCACCCATGTGATAAATTCATACTTTTAAATTAAATTATCGGTGGTTAAAACAAAGACAGCACGCTTGAAACAAAAATACCACTTTATATTGTACCCACTGTAATTGTATAATCGACAATCACATGTTTCAATAAATAATTAGTTTCTAACTGATTAAAACTGTAATTAAAGCAGTAATTAAAATTCCAAATATCAGAAAACGTGATTATTTAATATAAACATATATTAATTTCTTTCAGAGGATTCCAAAAATTGAATATTGTCTCTCAGAATAAAACTATAAAACTATAACAAAAATTAAATTGAAAAACTTAAAAAGCACTATATTTTATTGCAAATGTCTGTTAACTCGTTCTCAAATTTTAATTGCTCCAGTTCTCTTTGAAAGAACCCCAAAAATTTAATATTATTTCTCAGAATCATTGTTCTACTTCTAAAGTTCTACTTTGAAATTAAATTACCAGTAGCCTAAACAAAAATAACAAAACGTAGACAATTGGAGATATGCTAGTTAAGCAATACTTACCTTGAAAGTACGGAATGAGCTTGCACATAGTAATACCGAAAACGAAATTCTTCAGCATCTGTCCAAGAAGCGTAAAAGGCATGCAGAAGACGCCGAGTAGCAGATCCGAAACTGCCTAGAACATGAAATCAACAGAGATCTTGAGAAAATGTACTTGAAACTTCAAATTAGTGGCGAATAATTAAAGCAAATGAATCTTTAACCGGCAACAGTTAATTTTACACGTGAAGTTACATTCCTATATACTCTACGTTCTACGTTTAACTGTGCATTTGCGCCTTTGGTTCGACTTTCATGGCTAGAACTTGAGTGGTACTTGAGAACTTGAGTAATATTATTAACTTTTATCAGAAAAATTACGAATTTTACAATATTCAGTTGCTTAATTACCATTTATTCAATAAATATCCTAATTAGATTTTCCATAATATTTTTATGACATGTGAGTCCTAACGTATGAAATACATTTAAAAAGCTTGCGAACATCGCATTTCAAAAATACATGTTGCGTCGCGATTGAACCTTTGATGGATTCGGACGAGTTGTAAATCCATCTCACGACCTCGACGTGTTGTCCGCCATATTAATATTGAGCAACAGTTTAAATCTTCTTCTAACTGCCTGCGATTGATGATTTTGAGAAAATTCTCGCGTGACAGTCGTAGGGCACGCTTCGAAAGTTGGTCTAAACTGTCCTATCCGAAATTCGAGAACGTTTCGACTCGATTGAATTTTACGATCGAACTGCTGGATCAAATTTAAGAGTGAACTGATGGTGAATTGACGACGACTGAAGTCGAACTGGTGTCTCCGACGATTCGAAGAGAAGTGCTGTCTTCGATGATTCGAAAGGAAGTGAGCTCCTCGATTTTCCTATGATCGGTCTTTGGAAAAATCGGAAGCTCGCCAAATATAATTGGCTGATTTGGCCAACGGCGTTCCCTTGGTCCGCGAATCGATCACCTTGGAGGAAGGGAAGGTTCCCCCAAAAGATAGACGGTAGTGGAGGAAACCCTCTCCTCCAAGGTGAGGTACGCGGGGTCTACTCGCGCGCTGATGACCCCATCGACCGTTTATGGCCCCTAGCTAGGGCCTGAGGCTTTCAACGTGTGCGAACCAAGTGGAGCCCTCAGGCCTATTGTCAGCCAAGTCTTAAGAGCCGTCGTCTAATTTCGTTAAATTAGAGATTTCCAGGATTCTCGTGTTCCGCGACACGAGAAGTCAGAATAAAGGTAAAAGCATCCAAACATGCTGAAGACATGGAGAGGAAAATTCCGATGCCGAATTGTTTAACCCTAAAGACCTGGTTGTTGTAAGAGCGTAACGGGTCTTCCTTGTTCCGCGACGGAACAATACACGTATTGGAAATCGATTAATCTTCGTATTCCATCTACCTTGTTGTCTCTTATAAGACTGTTGGAAAATATGGAAGTATTCGATAAAATCGAAATGAATTATTGTGTGATCCTTTGAAAATATTATAAGCGTGTATACTAAAATACAGGAAAAATTATATAACCTGCTATCAATTGCGTATTATAGAATATAAAGAAATATTTTACGTTATTCATATTTCAAAAACACTCGTTATAAAGTTTTAAAATATTTCAAATGGACATTTTGCATATCAACAGCTAAATTTATAACCACTCAAACGGAAAACAAATGATCGATGAGCTTCAAGTGTTTAGTCTGTTGAAACATTCTGAATTTTTATTTTTAAAAGGAATAAAAATAATGAAGCAAATAATAATTGGAAAAATTCTCACGACATCCTCATAAATTTTGACATAAATTTTGACAATTTTGTATAAATATACTATATATTAAATACATATTAAATAATAAAAATTGAAATATGTGAGAAAGCCAAATAACTTAAAATTGGTAGATACGAGCGACTCCGATTTACATATCCAGAGTTAATATTCATGAACTGGAGTGAGCAAGTGAGAAGTCAAAATTAGAGCAATATAATCGTAATATTACGGCAATATTGTCGCAACATAATCACAAAATTATGATAATATTATCGCAAATGTTACCGCAATATTAATCGGCTATTTGTCGTTATGGTTAAAGAAAATCGAGCAGTGAGTGACCGGAAATTGGAATAGCAATGGTCGCTGTTTGTTATGCGGATCGAATGTTCTGTGATGCAAGATATCGCGTGAACAGAAACTCAATCTATTCGGATTGGATGTGTACATATAATCCGTCAGCGGAATGCACTATGCTTTTCCTCCATAAGTCATTTAAGGATTATTTGTCCCCTATCATGTAACACCACTTTGTACAACCAGTACGCGATAAAATAATAGCATACTCTACAACAGTAGATCTTCACTTTGCCCAAGTCACGAAATTGTACAATTCTGGTTGCAGAAAAATTTTATGAATCACTGAAATCGCTAAGTCGATAAATTTAATAACAAGAATTAGTATACGTTTAGAAATGAAGGATTACTGTACATGACAGACCGAATTGCAGCGTTTCATGACTATTTTGAGTATTGACGGATCACAAACTCGAAATGGCGCCTATTAGGCGTGTAGGTATTTGGTGCTTAATCCTTTGCTGTTCCATGAAAACATAATACTATAATATGATAACAATCTCTACATATCGCAATGGTATTTGGTGCTTAATCCTTTGCTGTTCCATGAAAACATAATACTATAATATGATAACAATCTCTACATATCGCAATGGGTACAAATAGAAAACATCTGCCCACGTAGATTCTAAGGATAATGGTTAATTGCCTACCACTCTCTTGATCAGTTTTAGTATTAAGTTGCACAGAATTTGGAGATAAAATGGACGTGTGACGACTAGAGTAAACATAATTGAGTTAAATAAATAGTACTGTATTAACATTTGTCAAGTGAATAAGAATTTATGAGAAAACGATAAGATTATTTGATTTTCTTATTAATATGTTTTATTTTATTTTAATATGAAACATAAGTATCATGTAATCTCTCGAATATGATGGCAAATAATTTTTTAAATAACTGAAATAAAGAGATTCAGCGTAATGAAGCATTGGAAACTAAATTATTCATTTATGGGTTGAAATAATCTGATAGATGATGATCTATTGATCAAAATTAGGAACTCGTGCAGTGATAACGTGTTTTAATTGAAGGATGATTGAGTGGGTAGCAAAGACTAGAACTGATGAATAGTGTTGTTAATAGTTCGTTGATTTAGATGTATCGAGGAAGTTCAGCTTATTCTAACTATTGGAACATGCTGAATAAGCTGAAAATTTTGGCTGCAATTATATAACATCTTGCACTACGATTTAATTCTAAGAATTTATGTAATTAGTAATTCGGTATCTGTTTCATTCACAATAAAATCATAAATGTTGCTGGAATTTTTATGAGTATTACTCGTGTCAAAGGTGCAAAATATTTGTTATTAATAAATATTTTATTTATAGTGCAAGAAGTTGATATCTGGATGTTACGAAAATATCTGACATTTTCTTTTTAATATCTAGAACTATTTCTAAATTATAATGCTTTAATTTGAACTACACTATGTTCCAGATGATATACAAAGTGGAAGAAGCAATTGGTAATTACTAAGATCATAGATGAAAAAATAAATTTTAAAAAATAGAAATAATATTTTTACAAGTAAAACAATATACGAACTAATGGCTGTATATGAATTCATTGTTTTGCTAAATTACTATATTGCTTCTGATGTTTCTATTGAAACCACAAATAAACAAAACATTTTGAGTGGTCTGCTTTAATTTGGACAGTCCAAATGAAAGTCCCTAAATACAAATTTACGTTACGCACCTTATGTGTAATTTTAAGCATTCGAATAATTCAAATAGCTTTAGTCTTATGCAACGCTATATCCCCACAAACCATAAAACTTAGCGAAATGCAATATGTATTTCAGTAATTTTATATTTATACAATTTGGTACCTCTGCTAAACTAGCAGCATAAAGATTAACTTATCAATCACTAATTTTAAAGTTTCAAAGAAACGATTCTCCCAAGAAGTTTTAATCTTCTTATAAAAAGAACTCTTTGCATCTTAGAAAGCAATCTAACGTTACATAAAAGCTTCTAGCCTCCTCTTTCAAACCGATTTTAAAACAAAACCACGAGGCGAATAAGAAATTTCCTAGCCTCGTGCACTCGAATTAGAAACTCGAATTATTTGACAGTTACTGAAAGAGCGAGACAGAATTTTTAATAAGAAATGTTGATCATGAGGCTAATTAAAATCTAAAAATACATATACTATATGCATATATGCAAATTAATTTTATGAAGCAGCGAGCACATTCGAGTTCGACATTTAATTAAAATTTTCAACTTCTCCTGTTCCTAAATGGCTGAACTATAGTTATACACAAAATATGTAAACGAGTCCTAAATATCAGGGATATTAAACGAGTCACGTACGGTACTGGAAATCTGTAGAGTATACAGAATTTCATATTGTCAATTTTAACTTATTGCTAGGTATAAGATGATGAAATATGGCATGGCGATTATTTGACTTAAACAGAATCATTAAACGTGCCATATTTTTCTTTCAGGTTTCCAGCGAATGATGGTTGCTAATATGAATATTTTAATTTGTAAACTTCACCAGGAATTCCTTGATAATATTGAAATAGCTAAGTATAAGCCGGGTCATAATTGTTTATTCAAGCTACTTATGTGGAACGTAGGTATTGATTGATCAAAGCCTGTGGATTTTGGTTCTCCTAATTAATGTCCATAATGTATTCCATTTGTTTCTTTTGTTATTAACTTGTACTATAGTTGCAATATTATTCATCATTTTTAGTATTTTCCCTATTTCACTATTAATAATAGTCTCGTTTCTGTTGCTATTTTATCGATGTACCATTTTTCTATTTTTATTACGTTTATCGAACAATAAGACAGATCCAAGAAAAATATCTAAACCGAATTAATTTTTAACTTATTTGTATTATACTATTTACTGTAGTAAGTGATACGAAACATGATATTTAAAAACACGACTTGTGATTAAAGAGCAGAAATAAAAAGAGCTGAAAATGCCATTTTGAAGTCTATATAGACCAGGTGAAACTAAAAGTAAAAC